AAACTTAAGACGTTAAACACATGGTTTTTGTATTTCAAAGAGTATAAATTCTTTATATTTCAAACTCAGGAAGGGCTCTTAAACATGTGGGCCAAGTTTCCCACTCTATAACAAGAACCTGAGGACTGTGACTTTCCTCCTGGCATCATGGCAGCCATCACAGATCCCAGAACCTCAAGCTGCCCTCTCACACCTTTATTGCCAATTACCTATCTTGGAAATTCTTGTGTCTAATTTTTAAAAAGACAGTTGCTTTGGTGCACTGGTTTTATTGTTTTTCGAGTGAATACTTCAGTTTTTACTTCAGATTAGTAAGAGGTCCATGTGTTGGAGCCCTGGACATACTTGAACGTTTTTGAAATAGTATTTTTTTTACCCCCCTGACAGTCATTGCTATAAAGTATCTCTGAGGCTATGGCACAATAGGAAACATTTTTTCTCTTTATTGGTATATAGTAGTTGTACAAAATAATGGTTTTATAGTGGCATTTTCATCTATGAATATTCCATATTAGGAAATTTTGGAAACAATAGTATTTAGATGGGAAAAACAGAAACTCTGGAATACTGTGTTACCTTATCTAATTCTGTCCTGGAGATGAATTAGTTCAGCAGGTGAGAAATACAAATGAGCTCATGTTCATGGCCACAAGGTTAGTCACCAGGTGACACAGTCAGTTTTGCATGCTGCAGTCTGCTGCCCTGGCCCATCCGCTCTCCAGGTGTATGTTAACCGTCCTCCCAGGACCTGGAAGCAAATAGGGGAGCTCAGGCGGTGCAAATGCCTTCTCACCTTGTGCAGCCCAGGTACTGACAGGCTTGCCAGCCCTACTACTGTGCAGGTTTGCTTTCTGCCTGTGCAGCCACACAGACAAGAACCCCAGCTGTCTCCCACTGTGATATACATGCCACAGATCATAAAGGTTTGTCATTTACATGTATTTTAAGAAGAACCTTTGATGTATGTACCTATGACTGTATCCCATAGGAAATGTTTTGTTTTGTTACCTAAAATCAAAATATACTTTAAGTACTATGAATACTACATTACAATCCTATATGTAATTTATTTAAAAATGCTCTTCATGTTTAGCTTGCATTTTATGATAGGAAGACTTATTTGTGATTCACTTTAATTTAATGTTAGAAAACACTAGCTTTCAGTGACGCAAGAGCTTAACGTATGATCAACAATAAGACTTTTTTTGGGAAAAGTAATATATTTAATCACATGTTTTAAGGTTGTAGTCAAGATAGTTTTTTTTCTTTCTTTTTTTTTTTTAAACAGGTCTCCCTCTGTTGCCCTAGCTGTCCTGGAACTCACTATGTAGACCAGGCTGGCCTCCATTTCACAGAGATCTTCCTGCCTCTGTCTCCAGGGTACTGAGATTATAGGCATGAGCCACCACACCAGGCAGTTTTTTGTTTGTTTTTTTGTTTTGTTTTGTTTTTTGTTTTTGTCTTTTTGAGACAGGGTGTCCCTATAGCCCCAGCTGTCCTGGAACTCACTATGTAGACCAGGCTGGCCTTGAACTCAGAGATCCGCCTGCCTCTGCCTCCTGAGTGCTTGGATTAAAGGCATGGACTACCATGCCCGGCCGTTCTTCTTTT